GGCAACAGTAAACGCGGCAAATACCCACGAAGAGTTGTAACACGATTGATAGTACCATATCCCACTGCAAAATCACTAAGTTCTTAAAGTAGTTAATCAATCTCACAATTTCTCATTGATAACAGGTTGCCAGTCAAAAAGTGGCCGCAATTAGTTTTAATTCAATTAATGGTAATTAATTTCGTCCATTTATTTTTTAAATAAAATACGCTGCTCGTGACGTATATGCATGTCTTTTATATCAAAGTAAAGGTATCGCAATGTAATGTAATCGCATTGTTTTATTGACCATACAACACAATGGCAATCGCTGTGATATGTTACACGTTTCCACCTCTATATTTATTTCACAGTAGTTACGAATTGTCGTAATTGTCACATTGACATTCAAATTTCCAACGAAGTTCTGAAAAAATAAACAAAGAATTAACAAAATGCCTATCACGTTGTATACCGTCCAAGAAAAAGTGCAACTTATAACATGGTACTTTAAGGGTCATTCGATACGCGAAGTAATTGTTTTATTTATTGTTGCCTTCGAAAATAGACCCCCACCCAGTGTTACAACAGTTAAAAATACCATTAAACATTTTCAACCTTCGGGATGTGTAAACAGTTGTAAAAAGTGTCATGAAGGTAATGAACCACGTGATAAGGAGCGTCTTAACAGGGATATTGATATTTGTGCTTTTGTGGAAGCTAGTGAACCCTGCAATAGTGTACAAATTGCTAGAGAAGTTAATGTGAATACTCGAACTGTCCAGCGAGTTCTCAAAAGAAACGGGTATCACTGTTTTAAGATACAACCAACACAAAAACTGCTTCCGGAAGATAACTTTAGGCGGAGAGAGTTTTGTGAATTTATGTTAGATAAATAGAATGACGCATCGCGGAACAACACGCATCTCCTGGTTGTATAATTTGAGAGCTTGGATTAACTGCACTTCTGCTGACCTCTTTAGAGCAGCGGCGTCGAAAGTGCGAATTGCCATGATGGTTGCCAACCTTCTTAGAGGAGATGGCACGTGAAGAAGAAGAAGAAACAGAATGAAACTGTACACTTTTTAAAAAATATTTTATTTTCTGACGAATCTTCATTTTTATTACATAAAAAACACAATCCGTCCGTTGCAAGGTATTATTCCCGGAAAAATAAGCACCTCAGTGTTGCAGTGCGAACGCAGCATCAGCAAAGGTTAAATGTTTGGACTGGTATGTTAGGCGACCATATTGACGGTCCATTTTTTATCGATGGAAACCTAAACGGGCCCAAACATTTACAACTTTTACAGAATGAGATCATTCCGGCAGTTCGACGCCTTCCCGTTAATTTTCAGGTTTATTTCCAACAGGATAGGTGTTCGGCTCATAACTCTAGAGCAACTATTGACTTCCTCAATCAAACGTTTCCTGATCGACTGATAAGTACATGTGGTACAATTAAATGGCCCGCTAGATCCTGTGACTTGCCGCCTAACGATTTCTTTGTTTGGGGTTTTCTGAAAGAAAACATTTATAGGCATTAGTTTGAAATGGCCACAAACCTAGTCGAATTAAGGGCAAATATACGTCATTTGTGGTTGTTGTGTTGAATCACGTACGTAGATTTTCCAGCCAGGAAATTCTTCGCCTTCCTAGTCCTTGTTTTCCTTTTACTTTTCCTTGAAGAATTAATTGTAGCGAACCATATCTTTCGCTGTTTCTCATGACGTGACCGAGGCATTCAAATTTGGCTGTTTTTGTTGTGGTTAGAAACTCTTTTCCTTTTTTCATTCTTAATAAAACGTCCTGATTAGTAACGTGGTCGGTATAGGGTATCTTCAGGATTCTACGATAAAGTCACATTTCGAAAGCCTCAGTGTTCTTACAAGTAGCGTCTGTGAGAGTACACGACTCAACTCAGCAGAAGAGCAATAAACGTTGACTTCAGCCATGATCTTGGTATTACTCCGTTTAAATATATGTCATTGAATATTTTTGCTAGTCGTTGAGTACCGTTGGTGTTAAATACCCAGACCTCCCGGATTATACGTGGAAGAAGATAAAACTGGAGGCATTGGGACTATGTCTCAAATGGGTAGAGAAAAGATAGGGATATCAGCACCAGCAGCACTAGGAGTGGAAAAATCAAGAAAACTGCTAGAGTGGGCAGCAAGAGGAAAGAAGTTAACGGCAACGATATACGACAAAATGTTTAAGGAAAGGCAAATAGTAGCCACAGAAAAGAAAGGGATGGTATTCATCACAAAACCGAAGGCCAAGCCCTATGCTGAACTTGTAAAAGAGTTAAGGGAAGAGCTAGGAGAAAGAGAGAATGTCGTCATAAAGAAAGTTAGGCAAACCAGACAAGAAGGTATGGTCCTGAAATTAGATAAAGGTAGGAAAATGGCGGAATGAGTCAGGAATTTAGTAGCATCAAGACAAGGATGCGCAACAAGAGTAGTGGCAAAAGGTGGAAAAGTAAAGAAGGGTTTGATGCTGGCGGACATGGATGGCCTAACCACAGAAAAAGACATCATCGAATGGATGAAGAAATTTGCTGGTAGGGAGGAAGCATGTAGTTGGAAAAATAAGGACAAACAGGGGAGAAAGTAGAATTTGTTATGTGGAGGTGGATGAGGATATAGCCACAAGGCTTTTAGTGGCAGAAAGAATAAAGATCGGGATGGTACACGTCACGAGAAAGGAGATGGTGAAGGTGACACGATACTATACATGCCACGCTCATGGCCACATAGCAAGACACTGCGAGGAAGAAGCAAAAGGGGGTGCTGGAAGTGTTGGATGGAGGGCCATGTGCAATTCCGGTGTCAAAGTAACATTATAAAGTGCTTTAATTGTGACGAGTCATATATCTACTTCCACTTGGTGTCCCAAATTCAGAGGAATTATCCGAAGCGCAAGAGCTGAAGGAATAAGGATACTCAAAGAGCAGTGGTGAGATCCGCCGCGTTGAGAGGGATCATGCCCAACATCGGAGGACCCAAAACTGAGAGGATGAGGGCCTTTCATTCTGTTGTGCAATCGACCGTCGTCTACGCTGCGCCTGTTTGGAGTACTGTAGTTTTAACAAAGGCATACAGAAAGCAGATCATCCGAACAGATGGGAAGAGTCTATTGGGTGTATCCATGCAAAAGCTAGTGAAGGAAAGAGGAAGAATATACGACAGAAGAAATGAAGACATAGCAACAGAACGTTTAAAAAAATAAGAAAGGGAGAGGTTCATAATGGTGTGGCATAAGGAGTGGGACGAGATGAGAAGGGTAGCGCAGTGGACGAAGTCGTTGATTCCTAATCTGAAAAGATGGATGGATTGCGGGTATTGGAGTACTTTCTGACGCAGATGCTCACAGGACATGGTTGCTTCAGGGCATACCTTTACAGATTTGGAAAGGCAGAAAATGACAATTGCCTGTATTGTGATATATCAGTGTCTCCGATATTTCACAGTACAATAGAGTCTCTATTGTATATATATATATATATATATATATATATATATATATATATATATATATATATATATATATATAAATACCAATAGAGTGTCACACACTATTGCTATACGATAGATGGATAGGTGAGAGCTAGGAAGTAGGATGCAATTATTCACGGAACTGGTGGAGATGCTTAGGCCGTCAGATCGGTGGAGAGCAGTTCAGAGATATGTGAGGAGAACATTGGAGAGAAAGAATCATGAAGAAAGGCGACCCGAAGGGAGGGAGGGTGCCCAGGAGCAAGCAAGAAGATAAGGTAGAATGAGAAGGGGTGAGATTGAACATGAAGGGGGGAACAGAGGAAGAGAGGAATTTAGTCGTAGTGAGAAAGTGTTAGAATGCGTGAATGAGAGATCGGGTGAATGCCGTGGAATTCACCGCTGAGGGTATTTTTTAGCAGGTAGGTCCCTGGCATTGACGGCGATGGTGTCCAAACAACACTTGCGCGCGGCCTCGAATATCATTGCGGCTACGTTAGAGAAGTCCTGCATAACCGAAGCTTGGACCATCCCCCTCGTACACGAAGAAAAAAAAAGTTACTAACACTAAAAAAAAGTTTATTGTAGTTAGTAAAAACCATAATTAATAAATTCACAGCCAATAAAACAAGTTCATAGTTATGTTTATGTAGGAACCAATATAAACGATCAGTGGGATCATTCACGTGAAATTAAACAGCGCATAAAAAGGCGCATTGTTAAAATGAGAAATTTTCAAGATTCATGATATGCCAATAAAATACCAAGACTCGCCTTCTTCGGTGCTGTGTATTTTCGTTTCTTCTTTATGGACCAAACTAGAGGCTTTTGAGATGTAGTGCAACAGAATAATGTTGAGAATCTCTAGGATGGATCGTGTATCAAAACAATGAAGTTATAAGAAGATTCCATAAGGAATATGAAATTGGTTTAACTGTGAAGAAGCGCAATTTAGAATATCTGAATCAGATAAGACGCAATCAACAGCGTCAAAATCTACATCTCAGTATGCAGTCCGGGCAGACAAATAATTTTCTGGTTCTATAATCTTAGAAAGTGGTTTTCAATTTCACTTCTGAACTATTTAAGAGTAGCAGCAAATAAAGTGATAATAGTCATATTAGTCTAGTGACAATACATCCATAGTAACTAGTCATCTTAAGACGAAGATAGGATTTTATCTGTAATTATTTCCTACTAGAGTTTCTTTTGTTAATTGGTATAGACAGATATCGATACGACACGATAATGTTAAGACTCATGAAAAAACTAGCTTGGCCTAGAGAATTCAACGATGGGCCGACCGGAAGAGCACTTCGACCGTTGCCATAAATTACCCACGGGCGATAAAAAGTATGTTTTATTAAAAAAAAAACAGTACCTTCTTCTCATTGTTGCCACTGCATTCTTAGTACAATTAATGCACTGTCTACTATATTAAAAAAAAAGTAAACAATATTTAAAACCAATGAACTTTTAAATAATAAAATCACATTACTTTGAAAAGCCTTTGGAGTTTTGTTAATACTTCTCTACTGAAAGGACTTACAACACAGTTCTAAGCCTCTTATCGGGTGTCCTGTATGGGGGAGATCAATTAGACGCCATTCGGTAACGTTTGAAGTATCAGACAGCAATAGTTCTTGATTTCATAGTGGGTGTGCTCGTATTCTAGTAGGTCGTTAAGAATTCGTCGTCCTCTTTCTTCTAGGAGCATATGACAATATCGTTTTGCTAAAAGAGAAAAGAAATAAAATAACGGGATTCTTCCTATTGACCAAAATTTTCAAAAACAACGTTTATATTTTCTACAAATTATATTAATTTTTGCATAAAAAGTTATTAACAACACTATAACAATAAGCAACAATATAATGAACATTAAAGAAAACTGTCAAAAAAGAGGTAAAATTTAGGAAAAATTGGGAATTTGATCATTGAAGTGAATGTAATACCATTTCATCCTCTGATATAAGAGCTGTGTTTATTTTTACCGGAAAGTATATACCTTTTAACAACTTTCCTAAATTTTGAAAGAAATAAAATATAGTAAAAAAAAGTAGTTGAGATAAGATTTTTTTAAGAAAAAGAGGGTTTTTAAAATTTTTCGAATTTTCCTTGATAGTTAGGCTAATTTTAACAACGAGAGCGTATTCAGTGGAAAATATTAGATCGAAAATGTATATTTGGATAGTTTTTGAGCATCTGGAGCCCACTATGCAAGAAAAAGTGATAAAATAGGGAAAAAAAATTCTTGAAAAAAAAACGATTTACCCAAATTACAGACCGAGATTTTGGACCTATAAGGTTGAAATTTGGTTAATCATCATTAGTAAAATTTAAGTCACATCTAGAAGGGTCGCCTGATCAACTTTGAATAGTTGACGTGGAATTATCCTACTGTCAACTATGACGAAGTTCATCTGGACAAAATACTAACATATCCAAAAACCTGTATTTACAAAAAAAAGTGACTAGAAATCAAAATTCCAGAATTTACTCGATCATAAGATGTAAATGTCAATTATCACTCAAAAACTCAAGAACTTCACTTCACTTCGTCTTTTTGGCTAGCATACAAATACAAGTGCATCCACCAGCACATTTCTTGAAAACTCAAGAAAATAATATTTGATAATGTCTTCTTCTTCTTCTTTTTATATAGACATGACTGTCTGTTTTTCAATGTGCCTCCAGTAAGTTGTCATTCCATCGTTCTCGAGGTCTTCCTACTGATCGTCTTCCTATTGGGGAACCGTCTCTTTACTACTCTATTGGTCGTTATTCGGCTTATATGGTCGTTCTTCTTCTTACGGTGCCTTATCCTTAGGGACGTTGGCCATTTAATCTTATTTGTAGCAGCCCTGAATAGTTCTATGGAGGTCATGTTCGTCCATTGCCGTAGGTTTTTAAGCTAAGAGTTGGGTCTTCTTCCTGGTCCTCTTTTGCTATTGACTTTGCCTTCGATTATAAATTGGAGCAGTTCATACTTTTGATTTCTTATGATGTGTCCAAAATATTGTGTTTTCCGTTCTTTTATTATAAGCATAAGCTCTCTTTCCTTATTCATCCTCCGCAAGACTTCCGCATTTGTCGTATGGCTCATGTAGGATATTCTGAGCATTTTACGGTAACACCAGAGTTCGAATGCTTGGATTCTTTTTTGTGTTGCTTCTGTCATTGTCCAGGCTTCAACACCATAGAGCAAGGTGGAGAAAACATAGCACTTAAGTATTCTAGTTCTCAATGAGATGCCCAGCTGGCGGTTGCATAGAACTTTTTGCATTTTGTAAAACATTGTATGTGCCTTTTCCAGGCGTATTTTTATCTCTAGTGAGTGGTCCCAAGTTTCATCAAGATTACTTCCAAGGTACGTTGTTCTTGTTACTCTTTCCAGATCTGTTCCGTCGACATTGACTTTCACCCTTCTGTTTTGGTGCTTGCTGATGACCATCATTTTTGTCTTCTTTGTATTCAATTTCATTCCAAATTCTCTAAAAGCTGTCGTTACTCGGTCCATTAAGCGTTGTAGGGCTTCAGCATTATCTGCCAGTATGACAGTGTCATCAGCATATCGCACATTATTTATACATTGCCCGTTTATAATTATACCATCAGAGGTGCCTTCCAAAGCTTTCTGAAATATCTTCTCAGAGTAAACATTGAACAGCAAAGGTGATAGAACACATCCCTGTATATGGTCGTTGCATTCTACTTATATTTCTTACCCAGTTTTTGATGTTCTCCACCTTGCACCTACGTCGTATATCTGTACTTCTGGCTCTGTCCCATAGTGTCTTACCATCAATTTTTCTGTGTTTTCATCTCTACTGTTTCTAAAATCTTTTTTCCTCTCTGTGTCAGGTCTTGTTTCTGCCGCATATGTCATTATTGGTCTAATAACTGTTTTGTAAATTCCGCCTTTTCTTTCCCGATATTTGTATTTCTCCATATTGTTTCATTAAGGCAGCCTGCGGCTCTGTTTGCTCTATTCACTTGATCTTCCACTTCGGTTTCTAGCTTTCCGTAGCTAGATAATGTGATGCCTAGATATTTAAACTCCATCACTTGTTCTATTATCTGACCTTCCAGCTCCAATTTACATCTTAGTAAATTTGCTGTTGTAACCATGCATTTTGTCTTTTTTGGGGAAATTAACATGTGTAGAAACATTTTCACTTAGAGATACTAGTATTGCGTGGTCTGCATAGCAGATTATTTTAAGTTGTTTTTCTCCCATTTGGTATCCTTTTTTAGTTCTTACTTTTTTTATTATTTCATCCTAATCAGGTTGAACAATATAGGAAGGAGGACTCGGAATCTCCCTGTCTTACCCCATTGCCAGCTATAATAGGATCGGTTAGTTCTTCTTCAGTAGCTCTGCGGTTACCACAGCCAGTCCCAAGCCCGGATAAAATGTGGAGGGTGATTGGCAAGGTTAGCAACCTACCAATCATAAAAACAAACACTGATCAAAGAAACAATGTACAGCCTTGGAACAGGATTGATACTATTTGATAATGTGAAGAGAAAAATAATAAGATTAGTCTCTTTACATACATATTGCTCTTAAAGAAATAGTGTTAATATTACAGGATATGTTAAAATAACAGAAGCTTGGAAAACTAAGCTTTTTTGAGGAGGAGACATGCTAAAAAAGGAGACTAAAAGATTATATTAAAGCTTTCAATAGCATACTTACGATTCTTTGTACAAACATGATGTATCGCCCACACAGCCCACAATTGCACTTGATAATCCATCCCTGTTTGCAGCAATGGAAAAAACGGTTTAAAGCTTCTGTAAGCCACCATCTCGCTTTCCGGCACTTTCCAATTCGCCACAGAATTTTTCAGTCCCTCCAGCATTTGTTCTCGACTATGGTTTTGAATCGTCCAAAAGTGTGGTCCTTCTGAGGCCAGATTGGCGACGATCCCAGCGGCGAAATAGCTTACGTCTATATTTTCGGAACTTAAGAGGACGAACAGTTCGTCCATTAGGTTCTCGGTTAGCAGGTTTCTCCTTAGTTTCGCCACTTCGGCGATGTTGTTTAATAGACCTGAAAATAAAATGAGATTTTTGTGAAATAAACACTAAACAAACACAAAACAGAGAAATACAAAAACAGATAGAAGGAATAAATAAAAGAAAATGGATATGAAGAACGTTATTTTTTTTAATTGTGTGTTAATTTTTAGTTTTTGAACTTTGATACCTTATTTAATTCTAAGACAGTACTAAGTTCGCCCGGTCAGCTCTGTAGTAACGTAATAAAAAGGAATAATAATACACGAATGCTAGTATATTCGAACAAAGAAAGAAATATACGACAAAGAAATATATTTGACTTCAGTAGATTCTGATTTAAAAGGAATTGAAAATATTCCCATTTTTCGTCATAACGAAAATAGAAATATGTTAGATAAAAACAACAATTAGCTGGCAACACCGCTCAACAAAGTAAAAGGAAAATAACCATGCCTGCTGTTTGGCGACTTAAGGTTCGCTGTTCAACTCAGCTTTGTCATACAGTACTTATTAAAAAAGCGCATCTTTAAGTTCCCTACTAATGACGAATAAAGCAATATAATGCTGAATAATTCTTGATCAACGTTCACTATATAAATCTAAACTAAATCTACGTACCCAAAACTTTGGTCTCGATGGCCGAGTTATTTCTAAACATTTTTAAGGCACCTAAGAATATGTCCTCTCCGCTGTTTTCTAAGAATACTTTACAGGTGGCCGCACTTTCATCAGTAAGATTCCACAACGCGCTCAGAGTAAATTTTAAAGTAATGTCGGCTATCGCATTGTCCACCCTTCTTCGTACCATGTTAAGAAGTTTGCACATGTACTCCGGCCTCGCTCCAAGTTTTGACGTTTCGTCTGTTGAAATCTGGAAGCAATATTTATATAGATGTTAATAAAGATACAAACTGTAAACACTATTAAACACTGTAAAACATACTTTAAATTCATATGTTTACTTTCGTTAGAATTAAAAGTATACTTCATCTAATTTACATACCGTTGCACGTCATTATCTACGTCAGAGATCGAAGTTAACATAGTTGCCAAAGTATAAAAAAAATCCTGAATCCATTTTAAATCAAACAGATCACATAATTATTGCAAAAGTAATACCATATCTTTACAACGACTATTTAAATTCTTATGTATCATTTTTGAAATAAAACACACTAATTTAGTTCTAAAAAGAACAGATTTTATTAAATAGGTAAAATATAAAACAAGAGATATTCGCTTTAAAATTCAAACTAATAAAGTACAAAAAGTGTCAACACCGCAACTGTCAAATAAGTATTACCAATTTATGCCAAAATTTCACCTTCGTTCGATTACAGTTACAGTGTGTTCCGAACAAACGTTCTTCATAAAAACGCTTTATAATGTATTTATACAAATTAAATGAAACATTTTATTAATCTCGTCAATTTGATCTTGATTATGTGAAGGATCAAATTCGAACTTCAGCTAAGACCTCTCGGAATTGCTCTTCATTTGTTCTTAGTTTAAAGGCATCTATCCTCGTTGTTTTTTAAAAATCCCTTTTCTCTCTTCTTTCATGTTAATATTTATTTTTGCTCTGACTATACGATGGTCACTGCCCGTTGTTACGTTGTTTATTGTTGTGACGTCTTCAAATATTCCTTTGTTGTTTGAGAGAAAATAGTCTATTCTATTTTTGGTAGTTCCGTTAGGTGCGACCTATGTCCACTTTCTGTTAGGTTTCTTTTTGTAGAAGGTATTCATAACATACATGTCTTCTTGTTCCAGGAATTCCATGAGTTTTTCTCCTCTTGTGTTTCTTGTGCCGAATCCAAAGTTTGCAATCTTGCTTTCAGAGTCTTCAATATTACTTCCAATTTTGGCGTTAAAGTCTCCCATTATTATTATTTTGGATTCATTGTTGTTGTCTATAGCTTTTTTAACGTCTTCGTAAAAAGAATTTATTTCCTCATCGGTTGCTTTTTCAGTTGGAGCATAAACTTGCACGATCTTTATTTTAGTTTTTGGATTTAGTTTTATTACCATGTATGTAACCCTGTCTGATATGCTGTCAATTATTTGAATTTGAGATTTTCTCTTCTTGTTGATTAAGAAACCTACTCCACCATATGTGTAGTCTACCCTGCCTTTATAATAGAGTCTGTTGCTTGAATGTAAGTCCACATATCCTTCACCTCTTCTTTTAACTTCTGACAGTCCCATTATGTCCCAATTCAAGTTCCCCAATTCCTCTTCTAGTTCGTAGAGTTTTTCGTCTTTTGCCATGAAGCGGATGTTGTATGTTGCTATATGGAGTTGTTTGTTCTTCTTCTTTTTCAATGTCGAATGCCCCCCCCCCCCCAATCCTCCAGGCAGACTATTGTTATGGTGTGGGACTGTGGAATAGAATTCCTACCCACCTGGGGTACCTTCCGTGTTTCTGTTGTAATCGACATGTTTGATTTTGGAGGTTTTGGCCATAACCCACCACGCTAGCCCCAGACGGGTTGGTGGGGTATAAGAATCTATCGTGTCCACCATTGTAACCGAGGTTAGCGGCCTACTCAGTTCAGCCAACACCCCTCGGAAAAGATGGGTCGGCATGTTGATGACATTAAAAGAATAGCCGGAACAAATTGGAAATATGTTGCTCAGGATAGAGACCGATAGAAGGAGTTGGGAGAGGCCTATGTCCAAACATGGACGACAGAAGGCTAAGAAGAAGAAGAAGAAATGAAACATATTATTGTGCATTTTTAAGTTAACATTAATAGAAATCTTTAAATATTATTTCTATGTGTATATCGTCGTGTTACCTGCAATAGGCCGTATGTCATTTTCATGTAACTCTTCAGGAAGGACAAAAAACTTCCCATCTTTAATATTCTTCATCAATTCATCCGAAATTTTATTTACTTAAATGAAGTCACGACCCATCTTTCTTATTAGCCCATCGACATATGACTTATTGGAGTTGTGTATTTGACTGAATCGGTCATGTATGTTTCATAAGCCAGAAAGTGGTTTTTTTTACATAGGACCTATTGCAAGTACCACGACGATATAATAAAATATGTCTAGTGGCTGTAATGCCAGTGTACTCGGCAAAGTGATTCTAAAAAAGAACACACCTACCGCCTAAATATTTCGTGTTGGTATCATGTGAAGTCACGGGCTATGACGCCGATGACGTGCAAAGATATGTAAATTAGATGATGTATAGGTCAGTATACCACATATTGTGATATATTCTCAATAGTTTTTAAATATGATACGTTCACGTGTTGTAATGTTATGAAAACTATTCATTTATATTCTGAAATAGCCGAAATACCGTGTATTTAACTTAGAGATCAATTGCTTACCCTAGCAGCGAGAATACTGCATATTGCCACAGCCATCCTATCCATGTTAGCATCGTCGAAGTGACACAAAGCATCCAACACCAACTTGGCACACCGGAACTTATCAAAATTAACTTCCTGCAATATCCAATCACTGCATAACGTCAGCAATGAATTTTTCTGCAACTGAAATTCCTTGGGGAAGCATTCCATGGCCAAAAGTGTCAAATTAACGCCTCTGCGTAAAGATCTCGGATGGATGTTCTTCGAGAATTCGCCTCGGGTCAAGTTATATAAACAAGCAGTAGCGGCTAGTTGGACGCCGAATACGGTAGTGTGTAATTCCATTACCGGTAACACCAGGTTGAACATGTCCGGTCTTGCTTCGTGGAAGTCGCCAGTTAGTTGGAAAAGATGGTAGATTGCTTTTTGTACATAGGGTGGCCTAAAATATAAATATTCTTTCAGGTTTTGACAAAAAGATAATCAGTATCAATAATGACTGACATAAAAATGACTATTTCTATTGTATGTTTAATATGTAATTGTGTTTTTTAGGTTTGTTTTTTGTGTTTTTAATCACTAATTATAATTATACATAAAAGTGATGTTGTCTTTCAGTACTGTCAGAGAACTACGAACACAGAGAAGCGACACGAGGCCCGGAATTCGTGTATCTTTTCTGTATACGCATGACCCAAATAAGGTGCTTTACTGTCAAAAACACGTGCGTTTTCTTCAACTTTAGTCGCTTACGATAGTCCATAGGCATCTGTGGTAAACTCTCGACTATACAAGTGCATTTGACCATTTATTTAATTTACTTAGTAGTTAAAAGTTTATAGTTATAGTTTATAGTTATAGTTAAAATATATAAGTTAAATATATAAGTTTATAGTTATAGTTTATAGTTAAAATTTTAATTTATAAGTATTTAAAATGTCTTCTGGTTATTGTTGTGCGTTTCGCGGATGTTCATCTGTGACAGGAAAAGGAATAAGTTTATTTAGATTTCCTAAGAATAATAACAGGTAATTACTATTGCTTTGTAATTATTATTAGTTATTACATAATAGTATTAATTTGACTTTGAGTAAGCCGACACCGACGTGTCCGCCCGAGCTCTCGTTAAGTGAAGCAATAAAAAAATAAATTTTGGTTTGCCAAGGGATAGTTCAGAATAAAAACCAGAGAACTACGAACACACATTAAATTTATTGTCTCCGAAGGCTCAGGTCAAAAAATCAACACAGATGTTGGCTTACTGGTGTGAAAGCGCTCGCAGACAACAATACGAATATAGTATTTTTAGGAAATAAAAATATATAGAGGGTTTTATACACGAGAATATTTGATTTAAACGAAACAAAGAAATTCCTAAAATGCTCAAACTAAAAATTGTTGGAAACATAATTAGATCGAAAATTGGGAAAATCTTAAAATTACAACAGAACAAGACTTCAAAATAAAAACATGATTGCAAATAAACAAACTTACATTAACATAACTTCAAATATTTGCTGTCTTTTTCACCAAACAAACTTACATTAAATTATGAAAAAACTAAATGCTCATCTACTTTTTGCTATATACAAAAGTTGTCTGTCAATGTTTAATTCGTTAAATATAAATAACAAAGATCAAATATATGGATCGGAGTACACAACATATTTAGGGAATAAATATTTAAATGGAAATTACAAATAAAAAATAAAAATATATAAAAACTTTATTTATTGTATATCTCAATATTTAGTGACAATTTTGAGACTTAATTAGGAGAAAACTGTAAATTTATTAAGATGAGATATTGACAAAAGTTAAATACTTCATTACTTACAATACACTTAGAATATACTAATACTCTTATAGTTGTAAGTAATGAAGTATTATTTATAAATACAAAAAATTCTTTGTTTAAAATTTGTTCTGTTAAAAATTTGTAGTGCCAAAATGTGGATAGAAGCTTGCAGACGAGAAGATTTAATGTTAAAAATGGATATACTTTATAATAGTTATAGGATTTGTGAACTACATTTTGAAAGATAATCTTATTGTCAAAAAAAAAATAAAAGAAAAACATTGGTGCATGACGCAGTACCTTCCAAATTTCAATATAATACGATAAACACAATTGGGAAATATTAAAATTACAACAGAACAAGATTTCAAAATAAAAACATGATTGCAAATAAACAAACTTACATTAACATAACTTCAAATATTTGCTGCTTTTTCACCAAACAAACTTACATTAAATTATGAAAAAACTAAATACTCATCTACTTTTTGCTATATACAAAAGTTATCTGTCAATGTTTAATTCGTTAAATATAAATAACAAAGATCAAATATATGGATCGGAGTACACAACATATTTCACCATACTTTGCGTTGTGCGATGTATTTGCAACCTTTTGTAAATCAAAAATAATTACAACCATTTAGAATGTCAACAAAAGCCGGCCCTGCATGTAACTATTTTTTCAGTGCAATATTTCATATTTATTGAAAGTCAACATAAATGCTCAATTTTATTTAAGAATTTATATTGTGTAATATGCCCACTGACTATTAAAAAATAAGGTGCTTTCCTGTCATTTTCACTCGTTGGCGGCTTGCCCAAGCAAGATCAAAGGAATGTCGCTTCTCTGCGTTCGTAGTTCTCTGGTACTGTTTTAAATATTTTTTCGTTCTTTTATGAGGGGAGGTCCAAATATTCGAAACATATCTCGGTCCTAGAAGGTGGGCAGAACCGCCTTCCAGCCTCGCAATGGTTGTTCGGACACCATCGCCGTCAATGCCAGAGAACTAACTGCTAAAAAAACACCCTCCTCAGCGATTAATTACCGGTCGGATCTCCCTGATTGGGACGCAACATCGGCACGGCATTCAACCTTGTCTCATTCTCGCATTCTAGCACTTTCTCACTTCGACTGAATTCTTCTCTCACTCTGTTCCTCACTGTTCATGTTCAATCTTACCCCTTCTCATTCTGCCTTATCTTCTTGCTTGCTCCTGGGCACTCTGCCTTCGGTCGGGTCGCCTTTCTTCTTGTTCCTTTCTCTCCAATGTTCTCCTCACATACCTCTGAACTGCTCTCCACCGAATCTGAAGACTTAGCATCTTCTCTACCAGTTCCGTGACTGATTGCACCCTACTTCCTAGCTCTTTCTCAAGCAGACTCCTCTCACTTATCCATCTATCGCATACCAATAGTGTGTGAGACAGTGTCCTATATTTCACAATACAGGCATTTGTCATTTTATGCCTTTCCAAATCTGTAAAGGTATGCCCTGAAGCAACCATATCCTGTGAGCATTTGTGTCAGGAAGTAATCCAAACGCCGGTGCCCGCAATCTATCCTATCTTCTCAAATTAAGAATCAACGACTTCGTCCAATGCGCCACCCTTTTTATCTCGTACCACTCCTCTTGCCACACCATTATGAACCTCCCCCTTTCTTCTTTTTTTAAACGTTCTGTTGCTATGTCTTCATTTCTTCTCTCGTATATTCTTCCTCCTTCCTTCACTAGTACCTGCATCGGAATACACCCGGTGATAACTCCCAACGCTTCGGCAGAAACTGTTCTGTATGCACACGCCACCGTCAATAAACTCTTGCTATCTGCTCAGGTGAGTTGCTTTCTGTACGTCTTTGTTAAAACTGCAGTGTTCCAGACAGGCGCAACGTAGAGGACGATCGATTGCACAACAGAATGAAGGGTACTCCTCCTCTCAGTTTTGGGCCCTCGGATGTTGGGCATGATCCCCAACGCAGCGGATCTCACCGCAACTCTTTGAGTCGTCGCCTTTACGTGCTCCCCCCACTTTCCGTTTGACTCAGAGTCACCCCTAAATACCTCACGCATTTAGGGGTGACTCTGTACGCTGTACACCAAAAATCAGGTCCTCCCTGCCCCGCACCACTACCAGCATAGCGAGGTCGTCCGCAAATTCAAAGGGGTTACACTACACTCTCTCCGTATTGTTGGCTCACAACCCCGCACAACCACCACTCCTTATTCTACCACAATTTTCCTCTCTGACAGATAGTCGGAGACCAAATTCATCAAGTACCTCGGACACCTTCTCTCTCGTAGAGCCTTCATTACCTCTTTATCTCCACCCCGCGTAACTCCCGGAAGACTTCCATAAGCGCATCCACCGTGCTCCTGTTCTTTCTGAAACCGTACTGCCTAGGTGACAGCCCGCCTGACTCATCAATATCTGTATCTATTCGCCCTCTTAGGAGCCTCTCGTATAATTTACTTATGAACGACAGAAGGCAAACAGGTCGATACTTATCTTCCCCCTTTGGGAGTAGCACGAGCCTCGAGATCTTCCAATTTGCCGGAAATCGCTGAATTTCAAGCAGTACATTCATGTGTTCCAAAAGCCACGTCGGCTCCATACTGCCAATGCGTTTCACTGCTTCTGATGGTATTCCAGCGAGTCCCGGAGCCTTTCGTGTCTTTAGGACACTCCGCGCTTCGTTGAGTTCGTCTATGATAAAAGGTACAGCTCCCTTAGCTTCGGTGTCCCACTGCACTCCATGCCAATGGCCGGGTGAAAACATCTATCAGGCAACTTCAAGCTTCCTGTCCAGTGGCATATCATACAGAGGGTACAGCTTGAACGGGTTCATTACGATTTTGTACCCCTGACCCCAAACGTCCTCATCCAACTTGTCAACAGTTTTCTCCAGTGCCTCTTCTTCTCTGCTCGGATCTTCCTGTTCAGTTCCCTCCTTTCGCGCATTGTATACTATATGCATTCTGCTAGCTTCGGTTGCTTCTCCTCTACCTCTTGTCTCATAGTCTGTCTTCTGATGGCAATGCATTATTTCCTCTTATTGGCGATCCCTTCGCACCACCAATAAGGCGTTTTTCTTTTTTCCTCTACCCCATTTATGCAATTTCTCATGTCTCTCTCTTCCTATCAACCACCTAGAATACTCATCAAACGCTAGCAATCTCCACTTCTGCTTCCTGTTTGGTTCGCTGATGATGTTGGTAGTCCCTACTCCGACGATCGAAAAGACAATGTAGCAATGTTTTGTAGCAGTGTCATCTGGCAGCACGGTCCAGTCTCTATTTTTTTACGAAACAACATTCTTTGGTTCAATATACTTGTGTGAGTCTGCATTTTCCCAAATGAAGATAGTGAAATCAAAATATCGTAATCTCTCTCATCATCTCTCTTCATGCTTGCGTTTGGCCTCGGTAATTACGTACCATCACATGAAATACTTGTGGATGATATGCAGTGCCATGCATCAACATTCAAATAAAATTAATATGAAAAACATGACTTTAATTACAACTCTATGTAGTTACAACTTTTTATCAACTAGAAATGTGCAATAAAGTTTTATATTTTCAAAATTGTTTTTTTTTACTATGCTTTGTTTTTAAACCAGGAGGAGTAAACTAAAGAGACAGATTCACACCCAAGAAACTCACTAGAAATGTTACCAAATACATCTTCTTTTTTGGTTGATCATATCGACCTTCAACAGTAATCCAAAAATATTATATTACACTAATATGTCACTAAAGAGTTCTAAAACAACTGTTTTTTTTATATAAAAGCAGACTAAAAATCTAAAAATTAAAAGAATAACGCAGGAAATACAAAAAATCGGCGATATAACTTAATTAACCTATGAAATGCCATTAGTGTCAAAATTTCATAACAGTGGAGTAAACTTGCCTGAGGTTGGACCAATTAAAAACAAACATTGTGGAGCAGTAAATTGGAATCACTTCTCCTGGTTTAAAAACAGGGTATAGCAGTTGATCTCCAAACGCTTGCAATTTATGTGATAGATCCCATGCAGTATAAGTCTGAGCACCACTGCACTAGACAGTTCGGACTGGTAATAGTGAACCAACATATCAATCTCTTCAATGTGAATTTGATAATAAACCAGAAGGTACTTTTTAATCAACAATACTTTATATAAATATACCTATGTTGTAAAAAAATATTGATGAAACTAGTTTAAGGAAATGTGTGCTGAATAAATTGATTGATATTAATTACTAAACATAAGCCTTGTCCATCCAACTTAAGAGCAAATTGAAAAACCAACTAAAAAGAGAAATTCACTCCTTTAAAATACCTCAATATCTGATAAGATGTACAGAAAACATTAATAATTCTACTTACTTGTCTTTATATTTAGTTAAAGTCACTTTAATCTGTTCCTCGTTTCCCAAACCTGCGATGATCAAATTTTTAGGATACTCTATATCACCCATGTCGGAGAAAACAGGATCAAATGTAATAGAACAAAGAACAATACCTATTACATGTAATTTCGGATGCGTTTCGATAAATTTTAGTAAAAACTGTCTGCAAATGAAATGTTTCCATCCAGATACATCTAGTAACATGATTTCTGGTAAGACATTTGGATCTTCTAGTTTTGGTAAGATGTCTAGGTGATTTACATTGTTGTCGATTTTGTCGTTAAAAAAACTAATGTCTAAATGTCGTAGAAGGTGCATTTTCTGTAGAGTATCTGCAACATGATCGGCACAGGATAAATCCTATAAAAAGAAGTATGCGGATTAAAAATTGACAATGGTACCAAAACAGTTATCATATAAAATGTTTTATTAATAATATATATATATAATATATATATATATATAATATATATATATATATATATATATAAACTTATATAATACTATATATATAAGTAAACATTATCCTTTAACCTGAATAAAATCCAAGAAATTTTCTAATCTCTTATAAACACTGGCTTTGTGTACCTAGAAATTTGTAATTCTGAATTCCAAGTACAAATGCAATTAACTGATTAAATTTAAATAGGTACACAAAATTATGCTTAAAATTTTATTTACCAATTGTCAACAACTCAAAATTGAAATATGTATCTGGCTACACCTACTTTGTATCATTTAGTAAAAGAACCTTTAAACTTTAAATATAATTTAAAATTGAAGCTAATGTAACGAAAGACTAAGGGTGACTATTGGTTACAGCATTAAGGGATACAGTCATTTTGTGCTTGATATCGGCCGAGTCTCTTAATCTGGGGAATTCCATCTGAATTATCTTGCAACAGATAGTACACTGTATTTATTTTGAAAATATTTAATAACCAAACATTTGAAATTTCATATATTAAATAAAATATATTAATAAACATACTTACACATATAGACAAGCTCTGTAGTTTCGCCGAGCGTTGCGTCAAAGGCCTGAGATCAGTTACTTGGGTTCCAGAGATATCCAAGTTTTGTAAATGTTTTAAATCTTCACATATATACTCGAATACCTTTTGATTTAGTTCCGTGTAGGCCAAATTAAGTCTCGTTAGATTGACTAAATGTAATATTCTTACCATAAAATTATATCTAGATATATCGTCAATAAAGCTACATTTTGCAAAATTTACACTGGACATATTTTCTACTGACCACTCATTTAAACAATCTGCAAAGTTTTAAATATAATCAGTTGTGTTTTTTATAAAAGTTATTGTAATTAAAATCACTTCAACTTAAGCCAATATTTCTTTATACATATATATGTGAAATATAGTGTAAATAATTAATAATTAACTGTTGTATTTTGTGGTCAGCAATATCAAGGAAACTTACAGAGCATTCGGACAATTTAAACCCAGTAACCATCATAACAAGTAATTGTATGCCTAATATAATTAAAGGAACTTAAGTCACAAACAGATAATTTACACCCAATAACCATGGACTACCAAGATCAAGGAAATTTAAATATGTAAGTTGGTACAAATTTTATGGCACTATATAGACTAATTATATGAACGACATTGCTGTTCATATAATTTCCTCCATGGTAGTGCCATTGTTCAGTTGGTCCCACACCAAGGTAGCGCTGCTAATGTGACATTATTAGCACTCTTATAACAAGGTCCTTACAATGGCATCAGAATCATCAAGTATTTTAACTAGAGTGAAAACTACAGCACCAAACAGATTTTTGGTAAATATAACAACCATAACAGATAATATTTCACTAGTATGGAAATTAATGTTGAAATGTGAAACAAGTTTCATTAATAAAAGTTCTGAATGAAAGATAACCTATCTAATAATTTACTTTATGGCATTATTTACTTTCACATATATATCAAATTGTTCAGTTTTAACAGCAGTAATCCTTGTATATTTAAATAAATAAATAAATACATTTTTCTGTAATATATTTCAAAGTCTAATAAAAAATCATTCATAATCATGGTGTTATATTTTGTATAAATAATATACCTAGTTCTAATCCCAAAATATATGTCTTAAATTTAAATTATATCTATTTACCTAAAATATCACCAATTCCAATTTTTGGCATATCTACACACTCTAATTGAACAATTTTATGTTCTTTTATTATTTTTAAGCCAGCCTTGGTTATCTTGGATCTCTTTAACCTAATGGTTTTTAATTTTGTATTCAATTGGGTGAAAATTTGTAAAAGTGAATCACATAACAGTCTTTTCTCCACGAACTTTTTGAGCAATTTTTCAGATACTTCTCTAATGAGGAAGATCTCAGGATCTTTAAATTTGTACACTGTAACTTCACCCCAATGATCACTCTCCTCGTCTTCCACTGTTTCTGCAGGCTCTATATATGTCAAAATATTCTCACATAATGCCTCTAAGCAAAGTTCTTCCAGAGTATCAGGACTTTCAAACATTTTTCTGTTTTTAGATGAAGTTATTCAAAACTGAAATAAGATTATTATTTTAAATGATAATCTTCCATGTTATATTATATACATACCAAAATCATTTTCAAAATATAATTCTTAGGTCTTAATCACAAGATCAATACGCTAAACTTTTAATAAACTAGAAAATAAATTACTATCTACTTCTTAAAAATAAAAACAATACAGATACAGATTTCACTCTTAATAGAAAAATGTCAAATTTATCATATGGTATATAACCTCTTCTTCTTTTTGATGTCTGACCAAATCACTCTTAGCTATGGAAAGCAAGTAGGGATAAATATGGGATTAATCCACAATTGATTATACTGAAAATTACATCTTACATTTGTTTTAACGTTTCGATGTCCAAATTGGAAATCGTTTTCAAACAAGATTATTATAAAACAATGAGTTATTTTAACATGTGCTTGTTTTTTAATTTTTTTGTGTGAGCGTGGAAATCTTCATACCATACGAGTACTGGGTGAATCGTACCAGGAGCTGGAGTGAGATTCAGAATAGATAGAGTACATCTGAACGCATTTCCTCTTGTGAGCGATTTCTTCCCCAGATGCATTCATGGTACCCTGCTTACTAATTAAAACCACTCTCGGCTTACATGCCGAGTTCTTTGGGTGCACATGAACGGTCTTTCAAGATATATTTTTTTTCTAGAATTACTATCCTTTTATAATTTTTATTATTTCATTCTAAACATTCTTAAATACAAATACAATAATTATTATTTTAAATAAATTTCAATATCCCTTGTTTATCTTTATGTTTATGTCTTATATTTAATTTATATTTGTCCTTTCTCTCTTTCTTTTTTTAGAATTTTTGTCCTTTTATAATTTTTATTATTTCGTTCAAAACAGTTATAACAGTTTTTCTTTACAAAATATCTGTTCGAAAAAAATGGCTGACACTATTTTTTGATGAAAAGTCCTATTTGACAGGAAATGGTAAATGGGCTTCAGATCATAGACACAGAATAAGCACAGAATAATAAACAAATTGTTTAATATTCTGTGGAATAAGTAACAATTGTTTATTATTCTGTGCCATAGATATAGTGGTCTGTGCACTGATTTAAAGAATCTTATTATGTCTATGATTCATCTTATTATGTTTATGCCAGAGATATGTAGGTTTTTTCTAATTTATCTTTCATAATTTAATAATATTCAGTAATTAATCAGAGACAACGATGTAATATACAAATAAGAGAGCATTCAATAAATGCCATTTTTATACAAATAAATTGTCGCCCTATACTTGGTTTCGGAACACAGCTCCCATTAGATCAGATGACAGCCTGTCGACCGCAACCCAATCAAACGTGTGCTGCCATATTTAATTTGTTTTGCTGCGTTACTATTGGTTAACTTGAATACAGATGGATAAAATTAACCGTTTTCTATGTTATAGAAGTGTATGTGGCGTGTTTGTTTACGAGGAAAATTTTAGCGACAAACAAAGGGTTTAAAACTTATTTTAGATTTAAAGTAAGCCAGAATCGTTAAAAAATTATTCTTAGACACCATAATGTCGTTTGCACGAAGTTTACAAGACGAATTAAACGAACCCGACGAATTTGATATATCATCAGGCTGCGACATGTCTTTTGAATTGTCTTGTGATGAAAACAGTGATCAACTACCAGTTAACAGTCCACATAAAGACAATGGACCTAAAAAATTCCAGTTTTCTAGTTGTGATAGCTTAACACCCAAACCAAAGAATGGATCATTTAGTCCTCCTTACAAAAGGGTTAGAGCCTTAAGGTTATTTGATAGTCCTTTGACACCAAAGACTATTATTCAAAAATCCGCCTGTGACACCCCTCTGCCTAGAAGCAGATTATTTGGCTGTAAACCGAAGGCTGTGGTCTCTGCATATCCTAAAAGGGAAGAAAGACCTGTAGCCAATGTAAACCCGTTTACACCTAATGGTAAGAGAACAATACATTTTATTGATGTGTAGGTTGTACATAAAATTATCTGCATATTTTTATCTTATATTAGGGCAAAGTTCTTTGTCTGATTCTTGATCAAAATTATAAGAACTCACATAATATTTTGTTGTTAGGAATGCTATTATCAAAGAAACGCTCTAGATCTATTAGATCTATGCTAGAATCTCAAGACATAAAACCTCCAAAGTTTGATTTAAATGAAAGTGATGCATCAGATGTTGAACTAGAACAACCCACAAAGAGGGTTGCTTTACAAGAAAATAATATCTCCAGATACCATCAAGAATTTGTACAGTTAGAACTTATAGGTAAGTGATTCTTTAAATTATAATTTTATGTTATAACTAGTTTTTGCATGTTTATACATTGTTTTAGATTACAGGTGTTTTTTTTGTTCAGAATTTTATTGTGTAGATATATCTAAAAAATATTTGTATATACACAAGTTGGGGATTGATATCTAGACAGGTGAAATTGTATGTTATGAAAAGGCAGGTGTTCTCTGTCAGACATCTGTACAATGAATGGCTGATTTAAAATGTTTTCTAAAGTTCTTACCTGTTTAAAAATACATGATATCCATTCTGCAAATTCAAGAATAGTAAAAAGGACAAAGACATTCAAAAATAAAATGAAGTAGTTTAGTATATTAAATAGATGTGGAAAAAATTAAAAAAAAATAGAACATTTTGAAGTAAAAATAAAAAAACAGTAGAAGTATTAAAAAAAATGTAGAGGAATAATGGCAATTGAATGAAATAGTGTGTAATCAGATTGAAAAGAAGTTGAACAAGTACATTTTGTTATAGGAGTAGAATGTGAAGTATAACTGATACTTGTTGATGCTAATGCTAGCTACAAATAAATAAAAACTTGTGAGATCTTTAAAACTCCAATTTAGCCAACTTGAAAATATATATTACTTTGTGTATAATCCATAATTAAAATAAAGTATTTTACAAAAAAATCTGTGTATGTAACTTAGGTAAGATCAGGTGTGTATGCATGTTCAATTTGGTCTTCCAATTATAATATGCATATAGAGAGCTTAGAAAAAGTACAAAGAAACTTCTGAGATTTGTTAATTTTAAATTAAGAAAATGCATTGTACAAAACATTAAGTTGGTTTTCTTGAAAATGAGATGAATGCAATAATTGGATATTTGTAATTTATTTAAAATAATTAATTATATTTGTACTTGATTTTTATATGAATCATGATGTGAATAGTCCTACCTTTAAAATATGCAGGGTATGCAAAAATATCTGCATTCAAGGACTTATTAGTAACTGAAATGTGATTTTTGTTTAAAAAAATACTTTTGTTTTAGGCAAAGGACAATTTGGTTCTGTTTTTAAATGTGTCAATAGATTAGACGGATGTATTTATGCTGTGAAAAAATCTACTAAACCAGTAGCAGGGAGTGTCTTTGAAAAAACTGCTCTAAATGAAGTGTATGCCCATGCAGTTTTAGGTAATATTTATTTATATTCAATCATATAGGTTTTTAAAGGTTTAAATTTAATGATATAACTATAAGTAGATTATTTAAAGTATTATGCATGTAACCTGTAGTTGAATTAACTATTTATTGCATAAGAATATTGCCAGCAATAAACAATGACATCATCAAACTTCTCTGCCTTCTGAGACTTAAAATTGTAAAATTTATAAATTGTTGTAGATTTAACAATAAAATCAGTGTTATTTATTTTTTGGTCAATTATAAAATATGAACTTGTGTTAAAAATATTATTTGATCAGCATTTAAGTTCTCAATAAGGAAACTGTTATTAAATCCACTGCAATATTTCACATTGGAAAAAATCATGGACACTGATTATTATATTATAAGTATCCCGTTTATGATTTTTGCCTCAATTCATTTATCTCTGTTTTAATCCCAGTTTATAATGCTAGAAAACGATTTTGCCATGTGTTGACTATAGTTTTTATCTTCGAAGTGCCTGTTCTAAATATTTTTATATGTTTATTTATATATATATCTTTTCTATATATCTATCTATATTTTTAGATATCTTTTTTATACCTATATTTTGATTGGTTGTATTTTGCATGCATTTAATCTTTCATTTTTTAATATATCATATTTTTTGAGGACACACCGAAATAAATGTAATGAATATGATATATTTTAATATTTTGACTTCTAGTCAAGTACTGCCTGACTAAATTCACTTTGTATTTGATATGCGTACAAAGAGGACAGAGACTGTGGAACTCGTAAGCGAGACAGAAAACAAATATTTACTCTGTGAAGGTATTTTACTTGGCAAGTCATTACCAAAAGAAAATTTAGAAAATTCGTGTTTACTGAATGTCAACACTAGTGCGCATCCAAATCTTAAATACGAAGTGAATTTGATCAGGCTGTATATAATTCAAAATATGATGAAACATCAAAAATATACCTAATTGTTTAGTGCTTTTTTTGTTTATACCTTTTACATGTTTCCTCATTTTTATCCCTTTAATTTTTTTACATTCCTGGTATAATTAGGAATCTATAAAATATACTTCATATACTTTTCTGTTTTATTTTATTCCCTTAACACTTTTAATACTAATTCTTCTTTATTCTTGCTGTAAATACATTATACAAAATAAGAAAAGATATGTGTACACAAATTCCTATACAGATAATCCAATACCTGTACTTAGGACTGGTAACTATATAATAGTCTTTACTTTTGATAACTTTTTTTAACTATTACTGCTCCTTTTCTTAGATTGCTGAAATCCAAGAAATCTTCTTGTTTCATTACCACTACTTTGAATGATTTCTTCCTTTTGCAGGATCTTACCATTTGATACCAGTCATAAGGGTGATTGGTCTTGATCTTTTTCATTTGTCTTGTATGAATCTTTTCCTGTTGTCAGATCCCATACAATTTCAGTTTTATCTGGATCGTGGTTCAAATTTGTATCTTTGATACTATTGTTATTTTCTGTGCATCTTTGTATCTTTGTTTTTGGAGATTTAGCACGATCTTCGCTCTTACCATTCTATGATCACTTTCCACTGAACAGCTATTAAGAACTGTTACATCATAGACCATGTCTTTGTTGTTGGTTAAGACAAATTCAATTTCATTTTTGGTGACTCCATCTGGACTTGCCCAGGTCCATTTTCTTTGGGGACTTTTTTTGAAAAATCTATTCATTGTAAAGAGGCCATTTCGTACCAAGAAACCCAAAAACATTTCGCCTCTTTCATTTCTTTGTCCGAATCCGTAGGGACCTATGCAACTTCGGTCCCGTCTAGTTTACATCCTAACTTAGCATTAAAGTCACCCATTACTAGGTTGTGTGTAGTAGGCGCCAGTTTTACTGCATTTTCTAGGTCTTCATAAAAGGTTACTCGTCAGTGTGTAGATGTAGGTGCATAAGTTTGAATTATTTTAAGGCTATTATATTATAATGGCTTGCTCTATAAACGATTAAATATGTCAACAACAACGTTGGCGTTTTGATTTAATATATTGTTTAAATCGCAAATATATCTTGAAAAGAACTAAAGGTTCGTTAAAAACGAGGTTTTCAAATGGAAAAAAATATTTATGGAACAGTTACGTCACTTTATAAAACACGCGTCGTAGTTGTATGAAGAGATCCGGCATCAGGAAATCAGCATTGACTGAAAATTGTTAGCATACTGAGGATGGCTTAGAAACGATTCTTTGACATCAATTGGGAAAATATAGGCGTATGTAGCAAAGCATCCTTTGACCGATTGTTTCTTAGCTTGTTTTTTCCATGACTCCCTCTTAGTAACATAATGCCTAAAAATACATGAAACTCATTTACATAATTTCTTTCCTTTTTATTTTTTGGACCCATAAATATCGGAAGCATATCTCTTGTTTTCAGCTAAAATTAACTCTAGTACATCAACATTTGCGAACAACAAACAATAATTTAAAGCATCCAATTTGTCTTCTATGGATTCTGCACTTGCCGCCCAATTTTGAGATAACACACTTTTTAGTGCATTTTCATTGACAGAACTTTCGTTATCTATATTTTTACAAGTTTCAATGTTTTCTGTGCTATCGTCTGTATGTCAATTCATTTAACTTTTTCATCAAATTTAGACTTTGGATGTGATTAGAATATTCAGATTGTTTTTAATTGTTACTGGATAGTTATAATTTGATCAAATATGACCAATAAATTTAATAATACATATATTTTTTTCATATAGGTAAACACCAACATGTAGTGAGATACTATTCTGCCTGGGCAGAAGATAATCACATGATAATCCAAAATGAATACTGCAATGGAGGATCCCTAGCAGAGAAAATAGCAGTTGAACCCTTAAGTGCACAAGAAATTAGGACATTGTTACTTCATGTGGCAGAAGGTTTACGGTAAGTCTAATATTGAACCAGTTAATGTGGATACCGTTTTAATTTGGATTTTTCTCATTTTCTGGATAAATCATCTACTAAATTATCTTCTTTTTTGTTCAGATATATTCATTCAGAAGGTCTAGTTCATTTGGATATTAAACCAGGAAATATCTTCATCTCGAGAGAGAAGAAAGTACATATGACAAACTATGAGTCAGCAGATGATGGATTTGAAGATTTAGATGATAATACTGTACTAGAAGAAGAACTTACATACAAAATTGGAGATTTAGGACATGTAACCAGTATACAAAATTCACAGGTAAGAAATTACTTATTCCACTTCTCATTTGATTAATAGTATAGTCTTTCTGTTATTAGTATTTTACTAAATGATTCTATTTAGTAAAGATAATCTTCATGATATTCTCTTAGGTTGAAGAAGGTGATTGTCGATATCTTCCCAACGAAATTCTTCAAGAAGATTACTCCCATTTGACGAAAGCTGATATATTTGCTTTAGGAATTACCGCCTTGGAGGCAGCTGGTGCCGGCGCTATTCCGAAGAACGGTGAAAAATGGCACTCTCTTCGGCGAGGCGAACTACCTCAGCTACCCCAAAAACTCAGGCCTGATCTTCTTGATCTCATTAAGCAGATGATTCACCCTGATCCTATGCACAGGTAAGGCAGTTAAATTGTATTCATAAGAAATAAGTGTTTTCAGATAATGATTATCTTTGTAGAGACAACTCCAATTTATCATCATCATCATCAGTGGCATTACAACTCGTCATGAGCCAAAGCCTTCTTCAGAACAATCTTCCATTCGCCCCTGTCTCTGGCAACTCTTCTCCATGTTTTAACTCCGATGGATTGTAAATCATCCTCTATGTTATCTTGATACCTAGTCTTGGTCTTCCCACTGGTCATCTTCAGTCGAAAATTTTTCTGATCATTGCATCTTCATCTCACCTAATTACATGTCATATCCATTGAAGGCCTGCTAATTTAATACATTGTACAACGTCAACGTCATTTTACAATTTGAACTCCAATTATGTATCAAAAATGCACAAGTTGTGACAAAATATTTTAATGTTTCTATATATAAACATTTACGTTATACCAATGTCGACCAAAACTGACAGACGCCGCCTCGACATTGAAACTGTCCAGGCAACTAGCTGGCAAGGAAAGCAAAATGTATTTTGCCAAATCGGCAGCTGATCGACTGGTGAACACAACCTTGGACTGAGAGCCAAGAATCAAGGATGTTGGCTCGCTGACAACATGCAAAACACTATCCTTTAAATTAAGTGGTTTCACTGCAGCAAAGTCCTCCCGGATGTCCCATTTGCCAGGGCATTTAAGATAAAACTAGTATCCTGCTTAAAGTTGTTCTGCGCTTGGGGCGGGGAGTTGGATAGCTTGGTGATGAGTGTTGTACTGTCTTGATACGAGGATATGACTCGTTTAACCTTCACACATGAGAGAATTCCTTATGCCACCAAAACTCAGTTCACTAGGAGCTGGAATATTCTAAATTTGTTTGTGGGTGTGTGTGAATAGTCACATACACATACAAAAATTAATCTAATAAACTCTATGTGCATCTACAAACAGGTATCCTTAATGGCCACTTGACACTTATTTATTACTCTCTTTCAATATCAAAAAAAGTTTAAGTATCTTATGGTTTTGATAAGTGGGAAATTAAAGGGCGCTGTGTTCAAAAGACGAATCGCTTAATTCCAAATTTATGTAAAAGTTAGTTAAGTTAACACCATCTATCTATCGTCCGTCGGCAAATTCAAACAAAAATATAACTTCCAGACCATCTTTACCACCAGAAACGCGATGTTTTAACCAAATAATACTTCAAATATAATGTGCAGAATAATTTTGAATTACGTTCCGCTAATGAACTTGCTTTTTTGTCCTTAAAAGTAGAAAAAAGTTTCAATTATATTGTTTAATATTTCGTCTAAATATATTCGTCTAACAATTTTAACTGTACTAATGCCCAAGTATCTATTTTCAAGTTTTAAACTGATTGATTTATGATGAGCTTGTAAAAATACCTGCATGTGCCTTATCTAAAGGACTGCACTTGCAAATTTTTAGTTTAGTTGTATTTTTGCAACTAGCTTGTTTATAGATGTGCATTGGGCATTGCTTTAATTTTGAGTTGTGTAGACCATGGGAAAAAATCACCTACAGTTTTTCGTTCAATGGAGCAAGAGAACCCAAGTAGTGGTAGAGAAAGTGTAGTGGTAGAGAAACTGTAGAAAAGTATTTAAGACTTCCAAAGAAAAGGATTGTTTTGAATGAACAATCATAGAGAATTTGTATGAACGTTTACAAAAATCTTACCTATCACCTATATCAATCAGGTTATTATAAGAAAAGCGGCCTTTTTAACAGGAATTCCGTATTCTACCATGAAACGTCGTAAAAACTGGTGTTAAAAAGAGAAAAACAAGATCGGATGCTGGAAAACCTAAACCAATTAATATCGTGACCTAAATTTTTAAGGAATTTGGTTTACGAGGAATACAAAAAAATGTAATACCAACAATTGATATTATATACACCAAGCTTGTTGCGATGGGAAGAAGCTGCCCTAAAACCACTTTACGTAGACGACTGAAAAAACTTGGGTTCAAATACAAAATCGTTTATAAACAGTGACTATTATGGAAAGTAAGAGGATAGTACACTGGCATTTAGATTATTTAAAATAAATTCGAAGAATATCGAGACTAACAGCGGACTATATATTATTTAGATGAGACATGGTATGACAGGCATGATACCGCTAGGAAGGGTTTGACTGATGGTTCACTTAGGTGCGAGTTGAAAGGAGTACCTCCGAATAAAGGTTCTCGGATGATTATTGTGCACTGTGAATCTGCAAATGGTTGGGTGCCAAATGGGTTAATGCTTTGCAAAAAAAAAAATAGAAAAATGTAGTGTAGATTATCATCAGAATATGAATTCTACTATATTCGAAGAGTGGTTTAAGAATACAATACCGTACCTCGGAGGTAAAGGACACTATGTCCATTTTCTTACTTTTTAAGGAGAGCAGTTTTAAACATTTTTTTAATTTGTAATCAGTAAATACTCAAATGTTTCTGATATTTAACCAAAATTAAATATAATATATTACTGCTCTCCTTAAAAGTAAGAAAATGGACATAGTGTCCTTTACCTCCGAGGTACGGAATACTTTCCAATATAACACCAGGCAGTGTGATACTTATGGACAATGCTACTCGAGGCTTCTCAAACAGTACCCTAACAGAACCCTAACAGTTCGTCTTCAAAACAGGGACCAAAATATTTCCTCTCAGATAATGATTTATATTTTGAAGACAACTATAGTAAGAAACAGTTACTTGAAGTGCTTCGTACTAAAACTTATAAGAAACAATATATACTGGACACTATTGCAATACAAATAGCCATACTGTTTTGAGGTTACCACCTTATTTTTGCATATTCAATCCTATCGACCTTATTTGAGGACAAGTAAAAACTCGGATTCGGAGCAAAAATAGTTTTCCAAAATTTGACGCGGAAGTGGTCGATTTAATTCGATATGAACTATCAGAGATTACAAGTGCCGACTGTAAAAAAGCAGTAAACCATGTAGTGAAAGTAGATAATGACTACAGAAGACTAGGACAATAATTTTCAAACAGTGGGCAACTTATCATTAATCTGGTGGATAGTGACGATGATGAGAGTTCGCCTGCAGGAGAAATATTTTAGACAAGGTACGCTAATATGATGATTATTTCAGTTAAAACAACTGAGATTTCATTATAAATTGCTAACTTTGTTTAAAACAATATTTTCTTAAATGTGAAATACTTTTCCACGGTTTCGTCTATGTACGCATCGTTAAACGATAATAGGGCTTTTCAATGCTTCTCATATGTTTCAAGCACTTGTGATATGTCATATAATTTTAATATATTTACGCCGTACGTTATTGGTATATATGTAGTATATACCAATAACTGTACATACCAAAGACATATGACGTAGATATATTAAAATTGTATGACATATAACAAGTGCCTGAAACAAATGAGAAGCGTTAAAAAGCCCTATAGAAGATGCTGTTGTATCACCTAGTATTTTTGTCGACAGAGTGGTAGAGTGATAATTTTTTTACATTTCACTTTTAACCATTTAAAAAACAAAGAAATATAACATTTTGTTTGTTTATCCAAAATCAGATTTTCTGCTCTTTGACTATGATATACAAATTACACATTGTTATTTTATGATTTAATACTTGTATCAAAAAATTTGTGTCGGTGAAACAACCAATATCGCGAGACGTCCCTGGACATTGGTTACTCTAATTTAATAACATACAAATATCTGTTTGAATTTGCCGACAGACGAAATATCGATGGACCCGACTTTAACTTTTAAGTTGGGGTATTACCGTGTTGGAGAAATATGACATATTTGTATTAATGATAATCTATTTTTTGCAGACCATCCCCAATACAGATACTACAAAATAGGGCACTGTCTCCCGACAGCTCCAAATCTAAAGCCGAGCTCACCCGCGAACTGAACGCAGAGAAACTCAGAAACGAGTTGCTAGTGAAGCAACTAAAAGAAGCTGCTATCTGCATCAAGACCATCGCTAACGAGAAATTACCGAATTCCACCAAAATTAATTCGAGGCTAATTGGAAAGAAGGTCAATAGAAGCGTCAGTACTACAACGTTTTAAAGAATGTTTTATTAAGGTTTAAGTTTGAGACGAGAATGTTGAGTTTTGAACGGTCAGAAGTTATGCAGTTCTTTTTTTAAATATATTTATATAAAATATATATTCGCCCAACAAATTCCTAATTGTGAACAAATTTAGATGATCATCAAATCCAACAGGACCAGTAATATGTCAACAATAGCTATTAAGTACTGAACACATTATATATAACCTTAAAATCTGAAAACAATTTCGAAAGGCAGCTGCAGACATGTAAAATTCATTCCATGACATTCAATACCCGATCCAAGGAAAAAAGAACATCTTATAGTACACCGATTCTTTGTTTACAGTTGGAAATCTGTTGTGTATATATTGTGTAGTATAGGTTATATGGTAGAGACAGTATATTAACCCTTTTTAATATTTTGAAGGGATCAACTCCTGACAAATTGTGAAATGTGACATTCCAGTTTGTATACGTTATAAGTTATGTGTTTTTTGAGGTTATATTTGTAACGTCAAATCATTTTGTGATGTTTTAAGTGAGTACGTATAAATGTATAAGCATTCAAAGTTAAGTTTTTTTCTATATTTTAAATTTAAATCAAATTGAAAAAACAAAATGTGCTATATTTCGTTTAGGATTCTATTTTTATTAATTTTAGTGAATAGTTATCACTCTGACCGTTGATGAATTGATTACGTCTCTTTGATGCCCAAAAAAGGCTATTTAGTAGACAAAGAGAAAGAAGAAATGATGTTTATCTGCTTATTTATTTATTTCATTATTTCTTTTATTTAGTGACAATTTTTTATCAGAAATTGACAACCATTAATACTTCAGTTATCCAATTTTTTTTACCATAACATTTTTCTTCTCCCGGGCACTTTTTTATGTGTAATTATTAATTTTTTTGTGGGAGAAATTGTTTTGTTGTGACTTTTGTATTTGAACAAATAATTGCAAACATTTCAGTCCAAAATTGTTTATGGGAACATTGTATTGAATTTCTATTTCCACACTTTTTATAAATATGCAAAACTCATAATTAAGATTTTAGGATTACTCCATGGACTAAAAAGCATTCAGCAAATCATTATTGTTTGATTGCATGTTGAAATTTTTCTTCATCACGATATCCCTATATATATACGCAAGAAAACAAATAATATCACTGTGCAACTTTCATTGAAGTGAGGAAAACCGACAATTTTAGTAACTAGTGTTGTTGCCTCATTGTCTCTTGGTTCTCTAGATAAATTTGTAACAAAAAATGTAAGGCCATTGCGTATCTTTTTTTTTTTGTATGACGATCATCGACATGGGATTTTGTTGTGCACTAAATGTTTTTTGTCTATCTACACGTCTGTTTAAATAATTGAGAATCTGTATAATTGAGGATCTTAACATGTTTAAATTTATACTAAATTCTCTACTTTTAAACAATAATCATGAATTTTAGGTTTGGAAACCCCCAGTACAATTTAGTGTACTGTAATAATTGGGTGTTTCTTTGAAATACTTTCATTCTATTTATAATTTATGTTTACGCTTCCCAATTTTACCAGGATATATTTTGGGAAGAAGAGTTATGAGTATATAAACATTTGTCTCTAGTGATCCTAATGGTGAGAATTTAGAACAATTAATTGACTTACTCCAGCGTTTTCAGTGTAACCAGTGTATTATTAGGCACCTTTACCTATTTTGCACAGTCTATATTGAACAGTGAACAGCCACTGTTTGGTAACAGGGGCACAGGTATCATTTGCTATGATCCTATTTAAAATACTTTTACAAAATAGCACCACTTCGTAAATTATTTTAAGTTTTATGGTATAGAAAATTGTCGAGGAGGGCGGAATTTAAACGCGAACTGTATGTTTGACACCAATATAAAGTCGAGCACTATTTCTAGTTATTTTTAACCTTACACTAATGATTTTTTGTCTAATTTTTCTATCTGTTTGATCGTAAGTCTTCTTTCTTGTTTCGACAATTTGTTTTATTCATATTTAGGTCTAAGTAAGTTTTAATATACTAACAAGGCCCAGACAACAGTTAATCAAATTCAAGAAGGTGATCATTAAAGATGTAAATCTTGACCAAACTATTTATACGGTACATAATACACACTATTTACTACCAGAATTCACATAAACTCTTAAAAATAGACACCTAAACTGAAATATTCAATACTTTTTTCTTTAAGTATTCTAGAAAGAGGAAAAGATCATTTGGACACTGGGTACTGAGATTCTCGAGATTTTCATAAAATAATATTATTAATAAAAGTATTTTTAGAATTTTTTTAAACATTAAAATTTGTAAAAAAATGCTTATTTTAAGTCTGCTTTCTTATTGTTACCTCTGCGAAAAAAATAAAAAAATTGTATTGGATCTTTTATAAAAACATTGTTTTATACAAAAATGCGTTTTATTATTTTTTATAACCCACTATCTTCAATTCTAAAGTTATTAAATAACTGGAGAATTGATCATTATATATATATATATATATATATAATATATATAATATATATATATATATATATATATATATATAATATATATATATATATCCGTAACTCATTTACAATATCCGTAAAACATAATGACGACAAAGACTCCACAGAGACAGTATAAAACTAAACATGACGAGACGTGACAATTGATCCCATGTCACGAAAACTGTTTACGGACATCCTGAAATATACTTTTAAGAATCGCCGCTTTGGTATTTAGCTCCAGAAAAAGGCAAAAATGAAGAAACAATAAATATATACAATTTACTTCAAAAAATTATTACAAAGAAATGTCTTCTTCGTAAAAAGAGGGGTTTTAGTCATTGTTATTCGTTTTATTTCTAAGTCTGGATCTAGTTGGTCCGTTATGAGAACTTTTTCAGCTTGGACTCCATTTAATTGAAGCTCTGCATCTGAATATGGGTTACGACTATAACAAAACCAAATTTTCACTCTTTTGGTTTTTTAGAGTTTATTTTAATCCCCATTTCCTCTCATATTTCGTGAATACGATCTAGCAGAATCTGAAGACCTTCAATATTTTCTGATAGAATAACTGTATCATCATCATCATTGGCTTTTACAACTCTTCGTGAGTTTTTGCCGCGTTTACTATTGCCTTCCATTGATTCCGATCCTGTGCTATTATTTCCCATGGCCTTACTTCCATATTCTCCAGGTCTTCCCTGACTGCGTCTTTCCACCTTTTTCTAGGCCTTCCTGTCAATCTTCTACCATCTGGTCTTTTCCAAAACACATTGCTAATCAGTCTGTCGCCATCACTCCGTACCACGTGGCCTGCCCATCTTAATCTATTGGCTTTTATGTATCTTACGATGTTTCCTTTCCCGAAGAGAGTCTCTATTTCATTGTTGTATCTGCTCCTCCATTCATTTGTCACGCTGTCCCTGCAAGGACCATATATAATTCGCAGGATTTTGCGTTCCCATACTAATAGCTTATTGATTTCTTTCTTTCTCAATGTCCATGTTTCACTTCCATATGTCACTGCTGGTCGTATTATGGTTTTGTACATTTGGATTTTGGCACGCCTTGAGAGAAGCTTTGACCTCATTAGATGTTGAATGGCAAAGAATGATTTATAATAACTGTATCGTCCCGGTATCTAATTACATTAATTAATATTTAAATGGGAATAAGCCACAATTGAAGGTTATTTTATAAACGTTTCAAGTTCCACTTCGAAATAGAATAGAAGTATGCGTTATTGTCACTGAAAATTTTACAATTTTATGGACAAAGCTGATAACAGTTAAGAAAAAAGTAATAATAATAATTAAAATTTACTAAAATTACATAAATTAATATCACAGAATAAAACATAATAAAAAATACAATTAATTGCAAAATTTCACTATATTGTAAATTGCATAATAAAACCTTACGAATAAGTTTAAGCTGCTGCATGTGATACACAAATAAATCATTCTCAAAATACAAACATTATTAAATTAAACAAATTAATATCGTTGAGTTGCATTCCTGGGACGACTACTTCTATACTATATTATTATATATATATATATATATATATATATATATATATAATATATATATATATATATATATATATATTTAATTTTATATTTATTATCGAACCGTATTAATATATTATCCTTGAACCTAAATTTTAGCGAATCCGCTCCTGGAGGGTTTTTTCTTATAATAATTCGGTTGACAAAGGGTCACGTCATCAGCGTCAGGCAAAATTTCGTATATCTTGACAGAAACTATAAAACAGCTCACGGATCAACGAGAACTCCGTGAATTCTCTAAGGTCATCTCTGCGGCAATAGAATCAGTTCGTGGAAAATTTCAGCGGTGAATAGAGACTTCTTTAACGAACGCACAGGGGTAATTGACTCACAGCATTATGAATATTTGGTCTGTTTGTAGACTTTTGTATGCAGGAGTTTTTGTCACATTTAACATTAAAGTTAAATGAGAAATTTCTATTATTTTGTTATTGGCTTTATTTAATTGTTCTTTGAAATTTTCATTCTTTTCGGTGCTTTTTATGTGTTAAGTCTTTTAAAATTTGTTTCAAATAAAATTTGAAGAAATTTCGTGACTGACAGCCCCATACAACTCAAATGATAAAACAAAATTCCTTAGAAAAGAAGGTTGCATATTGTTGTAAAAACAACTTATTTAATATTGTAATTGTATTTAGTTATTGTATCAACTTCTGCTCTCAGTTCCTCAGCCCTCGTGTTAATGTGTTTGCGACTCTCTCCGTCACAAACTCCTCTCGCCCCCGTTATAGGACTTAGCTTAGGACACCGACACGGCGAATTTGCCTCTCGGCAAGTGAAGACTGTCTCGGCAAGTGTCGTCGATCCCGAAAAGTGCGTTATGCGTAAGTGAAAAGAGAGCTTGTAAACCCTGTATTTTGCGTTAACCGTAAACCGTTTTGTTTCTCTCTGTATCTTTGTTACTGCCTCCTAGCTCGTAAAGCTAATGATATTTGTACAACTCTTTTTAGTTTAGTCAGAATGCGATAATTTCAATGTTGAATCAGCCCTATAAGTTCATTACAAATAAATCGAAGGAAAAATACGTCCAAGTGTTTTATTGCTTCAGTGGTCCTTGATAAATATTTTGAAGCAATTGGGTGGTCAACTGCACCTCTCTTAAATGTGAAAAGTTAGGTAATTAATTTACCCTCTCCACCATTTTGGTCCTTCGAGCCGGATACATATTGTAAATAATTTAGAATAATACAAGTAATTAAATAGGATTTATTGTACAAAAATCTATTCTAAAATAAGACAATATCCAAATGATCTGTAATTTAAAGTACGAGGAAGCTGAAAATTTATTTAACTATAAACAATATTATGAACATTCCATGGTTGCCCACGAATTGGAATTTTCATTAAAGGCAGGTACTTCAACAGGAGCAGAAGGTCCAGCTTCTGATGTCGAGGGTGCTGATGCTCCATTTTGGTCTGAGTTTGTGTTATTTTCTGTGGGGTTAGTTTCTTCCCAATTAATTTTGAATCGGGTTACTCTAGGTTCGGATGCTAGAATATTTCGGGTTACCTAAAATCAAAAGAAAAAATGTTATTTTGAATAATATACATAAACAATAAAAATATATTCAAACAACTTTCAACCTAAAATGAAGCTCTTTATTGAAACTCTTTATGTACACTACTGACCAGACTATCTTGATGTTCATGTAGAAATTTAATCATAAACGACAAATTTTGTGTTCTCTTAAAAAAGAGAATATCAGAAAATAACCAATACAGACCACTAAATTTATTCTGGAACTCGTTTTCAGAAACGATTTTCGAAGTGGAAATCGAAACGTCAAACAGTAGTTAAAAATGTAATTTTCATTACAACCACTTGTGCATTATACCATATAAACATAATATTTGACTGACTAAAAATTAAGTTGCTTTTCAAAGTAACTGATATCAAAAAAGAAGATCCAGTTGCCTTTCCTTAAAAAAACACATTTAACTGGTTCATTCTATCACCTTTCAGATGTTAATTATCTTTGATTTATAAAGATAAACTATAACTCATATATTACTTTTATATGAAACCTGAAATTTTATAGAGTCGGCATCGACGAAAATTGAAATAAGTCTTGAATTTTGTTTAATAATAAACCCAACACGCTTACATTTTTACCGCAGAATTTTAATTCATTGATAGTTTTGGGTTTGCCATGTGAGACATCTCAGCGATCCATTAATTCTTTTGGTATTTTAAGGATCACAGCCAAATGTAATTGGGGCCTGTCAATAATTTGTGTAAAACTTTCTGTAATCATATTCTGTTTAGCTTTTCCATTTTTCAAAATTCTTTATCGATTTGTTGCCTCTTTCTTGAAGTTTTATTTCTCTTCATTTTTTTACTTCCATATTCTTCAAAATTATTTATAAATCTGTTAATAAATATATGACTTATTCTTCTTTTTGTTTACTGCAATAAAACATGAATCCGCCGAAATCACCCTACAATGGTGCTTATGTGATTGACCTTTTGAGTCATACAACATTTTCGTATTCTTTCAGATAGTAGAGGTTACTGTTAGAATGTGTGGCGTCTATTGACGCCTTATGACAGACAATGCAGGGTTGCGTTGCAAATGGAGGATAAAAGTTAGTCTTATTGAGTCCTCAGCTTTAGAATTATATCCACCTAAACTGAAAGTTTAGTTTAAAACACACTGGTCAAACTCAGTTTGGTTTTAGGAATGGGTTCGGAACAAGAGAAGCACTTTTTTCAATACGTGTGCTAGTTGAAAGATGTAGAGATGTCCATTCTGATGTATACTTGTGTTTTATAGACTTTCAGAAGGCGTTTGACCTGGTGAAACATGATAAACTAATAGATATTTTAAGGTCATGTAATATCGACGATAAAGACTTAAGGATCATTTCAAACCTCTACCAAGAACAAAAGGCTAAAATCAGAATAAAAAGCGAAACATCTGGAAAAATCAATATCGAGAAGGGAGTAAGACAGGGATGTGTCCTATCACCTTTGCTGTTCAATATTTACTCTGAGAAGATATTTCAGAAAGCTTTGGAAGGCACCTCAGATGGTATAATTATAAACGGGCAATGTATAAATAACCTGCGATATGCTGATGACACTGTCATACTGGCAGATAATGCTGAAGCCCTGCAACGCTTAATGGACCGAGTAACGATAGCTTGTGGAGAATTTGGAATGAAATTGAATACAAAGAAGACAAAAACGATGGTCATCAGCAAGCACCAAAACAGAAGGGTGAAGGTCAATGTCGACGGAACAGATCTGGAAAGAGTAACAAGAACAACGTACCTTGGAAGTAATCTTGATGAAACTTGGGACCACTCACTAGAGATAAGAATAAGCCTGGAAAAGGCACGTACCATGTTTTACAAAATGCAAAAAGTTCTGTGCAACCGCCAGCTGGGCATCTCATTGAGAACTAGAATACTTAAGTGCTATGTTTTCTCCACCTTGCTCTATGGTGTTGAAGCCTGGACAATGACAGAAGCAACACAAAAAAGAATCCAAGCATTCGAACTCTGGTGTTACCGTAAAATGCTCAGAATATCCTACATGAGCCATACGACAAATTGCGGAGGATGAATAAGGAAAGAGAGCTTATGCTTATAATAAAAGAACGGAAAACACAATATTTTGGTCACATCATAAGAAATCAAAAGTGCAAAAGCATGAACTGCTCCAACTTATAATCGAAGGCAAAGTCAATAGCAAAAGAGGACCAGGAAGAAGACTCAACTCTTGGCTTAAAAACCTACGGCAATGGACGAACATGACCTCCATAGAACTATTCAGGGCTGCTACAAATAAGATTAAATGGGCAAATGTAATGGCCAACGTCCTTAAGGATAAGGCACCGTAAGAAGAAGAAACTGAAAGTGGCTGAAGTCAGTTTAGATTCAAACATGGACTTGGTAAAAGAGAGGTCATCTTTGGCATGCAAACATTAGTACAGAACTGTACAGATCAAAGAAAGGATGTTTTTCATTATTTCGTCATTATTGGAATGGTATTCAAAAATGTAAAACAAAAACTAATGATAAAATATTTTCAACAGTTGGAATTGAATGCTAAGGACATAAGAGTTATCTTTAATGTGAATTGAAATCAGACAGGAACAATAAATCTTCAAAACCATAACAAAACAGAAAATTTCTCAATAAAAAGGGAAGTGAAGTTCCAATGTTGTATCAACAATCTTCAGTGTCTTATAAATGAAGTTTTGGTTTTGCAAATAACCATCAAGAAGATGGAAACTATGATTATAGATGAAAATAATTACCTGATTGCAAATATTTATGTAGTTGGAGAAGAAATCAAGCAATTCAAGCAGATAAAATACTTGAGTTGTCTGCTAAAAGTTAGTTGAAATTATGAAAGTGAAACAAAGAGCATAGTAGAACAAGATACAAATGCTTTCTTGAAATTTCGTATGTTAATGACTGATCACATATTGGATTTTGCATTGAGATATAACAAATGTGTTGTAACAAATGGAAGCTTAAAGGTCAAAAAGGAAGTTCCGCAAAGAAATGTAAAGGTTTTGAAATCGGCCTGCACCAAATACTAAGAATATCATATAGATAAAGAAAAAAAAATGTTATTAAAAATCCTTTGTAAAAGGTATATAATTTAAAAACCCAATCGGGTTATATCACAAAACGTTTTCAGAATCCATATTCCATCATCAGTGTCTAGATATACATGTATGTAGTCACTAAATATGTGGAGATGTAAAAAAGTATCAATAAGCTGTCAAAGGAGAATATAAGTTAGGACTTAATATTATGAGGAGAACATTACTTTCTTCATATATTCTCTCAATATGGCAGAATTAGCAAGAATAGCAATAAAGAATATTTTATGAATAATCCTCGGACAATGATTAGTTTAGGGCACCCAACATAACCAAACTTATATTTGACATTTAATGTATGCTTAAATTATGTCAGAGTTGCCATACCTCAGTTATTTCATACTCTCACATTACATAAACATGAATTTAAAAAAAATTATATATAATAGAAATACATTGAAATGATATAAAAATTCATAGTTTTTAATTAAATTAAATTAAAGATAAAAAATGAAGATAAACTAAACTAAAATTTATTTTAAAACTTAATTTATCAAAGCTGAAGTGCCACAAATAATGTACAATGTTTAACTGCATTGAAAGTAAAAGAAAAATATTTATGAATGCTGTTTGATACTTATTCTAAACTTGTAGCTTCTCATAACACAAATTATAATTTAGTAAAAGTAACTTTATTAAACATATATAAACATATATATATTATATATTATATATAAATCATATATATATATATATTTATACAAAAAATATATAGCAACACTGTGAGCGCAGTACCTTGAGGAAAATATATTTGGTTATATTGGGTGCTCTAACTCTAAACTAATCATTGTCCTAATCCTCTTTTTTTCCCCTATAAATAATCATAAGAAATTATTTTTAGAAATAACTTTCATAGAAATTTCAATTTTTACAAAATTCTAAATGATATTTTTTAACCTGGTACTTAAAACATTTATAGCAAAATTTACCAATCTTAAAGTGGCCATGATATAGTTCTTGCAGTTATTACTATTGTTATTTGCAATAAAAGAAGATTTAAATATTTTGTAATTTGTCTTTTCCTGTATGATCTTAGCAATATTAGTATTACTCTCTTATGACATTGTTAGAATACTGTAAATCTTCAACAATATTAAAATCTACATTATAAACATCATATAAGTTTTGACAACAAAAGTTTAATTCCTTATTATATAGCCATTACCATATTATTTACCAATTTTGATAATATATGTATATCATTATCAAAATTCCTATCTAACAATTAATATTCAATTAAAACTTCAAACAATATAGTAGGATAAACACTAAACAAGTCTAAACATGTTAGTATCACTTGTCATTCTGCTGATATTCAAACATTTGTTAAATACTCATTTAGTAAAATCTTAATTTAATTCTACCCTACCTTATCAAATTGTGGAGGACTAGGTAAATTTTCTTTAAGTTCTGGATCAGTATATTCATTATTAATAAAATATCCTACACGAATGAACTCCTGACTTCTATAAGAACATGTTAAAAGTACAACTGTAACACCAAGAGCATCATTTTCTGGAATACGTGAGACATTTGGAGGATCCGCCTTAAATCAATTAAAAAAAATTAATGAAGCAATGTTACTTAAACACTATATTCTTATATGTACTGCATCTAAATATACTTTGAACTTTGTTTTCGGTAAAGAATACTCACTTGAAAAACGAACATGTGTTTGCCTTCTGGTATAGGTCCTACAAAAACTGAATCTAAAGTTTGATCATAGTCTTCACTCTCGGCTGAACCTACATATATCATTTTCCATTCCAAATCTAAAAATTACTTACATATATACATGTTCGACGCGTTATATTATTAATTTACCTTCTCTAAGTTCTTCTATACACTCAAAAGTTATTTCGAACTGAAATGGGTTCAAGAAAGGACTAGGATTGTCCATTACGGTTATGTTACACAATTGGACCTTAGCCATTATATATAAGCACTGGTTAATATTCAACCCAACTTTCACGAATGTTATAAAAAATATATAAAATACGAGTTTTTATTAAAACAACTCAATTACTTTGTTCAAAACTATCTTAAAAAAATCTGTGCAACAGCGTCAAAATTGTTTACCCGCCAGAATTTCTTTTAGAACAAGTCTTCCTCTTTCTGTTTCAATTTTGGTTGTATTTGGTCATGTCATGGTTGACATAAGTTTCATACAATGACGTATTTGACAGGTATAACCGCAAAAACCACAAAACTTGAAAACAAAGAAGAATTTAATTTATTATTTTTTCTTTTGAGAAAAATTATCTGTTAATAATAAATTTTTAATATCAATATACAAGAATTTTCTGAACGTCGATATTTCCAAAATCATATTAATCTGAGAATTGCTTGACTAATTTTAAGTTGGAATGTTTTTCTTCTTTTTTCTGATTTGATTTAAACCAAATAAGCAATTTGCATTGATGACTAGTTGAAGTAGAATTTGTCCTTAGACCATTTTAAAGCTTTCCCACTTCCCAGTAACAGCTGTTTGTACATTGTCAGATAACATTTGTTTATCTCTTAAAAGCTAATATTTATGCAATTTAAAATTAAAATTACTATTTATTGTATTTCTGACAAACTATACATTTCAGTTGGTTTTGGCAGTGGCACTTGCAGTTAATTCTCTCGTATAGTTTTCATCGGAGAGACTTGGATTAAGCAACCAACTATTTTCTAAAGTCAAATTTAAATTTATCTATTATGTATTAAACAAACTATCTTCCCAATTTCAATGTATGTACGGCTGTGATAGCTTAAATAGTAAATAGTTCCTGTTAGTAATTTATTCATAGAATATGGCTCTTATATACTTCATTTTTCTTGGACTAGCTTGTTTGGGAGCTAAAGGAGAGGAAGACAAACTTAATGGTGTTGTAGTGGTAAGTTCTTTTTTTGTTCAATCTGTTTTAAATCATTAACGCTGTGATTTTTATAGATTTACAGACATGGTGATAGAACACCTGTTGATCCTTACCCAAATGACCCCTACAAGAATAGATCATACTGGCCTATTGGATTTGGACAACTTACAAATGTAAGTAGCATTATAAATAAAATTTCTTTTACTATTTTCTAAGATATATTAAATATTCGCTTTTATCATAATATAGAATATATCTATAAATATGAAGTTTTGTAAAAAACATTCTGGAAGTAAACATGCTGATTTTGTGGTAGGAATGTTTTTATATTTATTACTCATTTATATTTACAACAGATTATATATACATAAACAAAAGTTACATTTACATTTCATTAATATTAATGATATAATTAACAAAGGTTCTCCTAATTTTTCCTGTTGCTATCTCCACATGTTCTCCAGCACTTTCCACCTCTGGGTTTTTTCATGTCAGATATGTCCTGATAAATGCTATAATTCTAATTTATGTTGTGAATAAAATTGGTTTATGAGAAAGTTTTTGTCTGATAGGTTTGTTTTCTATATTATTATAGTAAATAATTTTAACACCTCTCTTTATCTTCATTTAATGTCATTCTAATTAATGTATTTTTATGCTTTATAACTGTTTTAATTGTTTTTTCATTTTAATTCTTTAATAATATATTGAGTTGTTTAATGAAGCAGAAATGTCAGTAAAATTTTCAGAATATTTTTACTTCCAAAATGTCCTACTCAGAGGCAGATCCATCAGTGTTAAGAGGGATGCCTATCATCCCTCCTTCCAAACAAAAGATAACCAAAAACTGAATGTTTTTATAATCTTTATAGATAATAAAACACATTAAATCACTATGGTCCTACTACTACAAAACTATTTTACTTATATGCTTGATGTTTGATAAATACAGTGACATGTGTTGCAGAATAGGATTTATTTTTTTTTCATCATTGATTTATCATAGGGCTACTTATTAGTTATTTTGAGGTAAATATGTCTTTTTGGACTACTGTAGGCTTATTATTAATGAATTTGATTCATTGATCAAGGTTCCACTTACTGCAACGAATCTGTTTTTATAACAGACACATATGTTATACAATGTGTGCTCTAGGTATTTAATTGTCCTAATAAAATTTGGTAAACAACTATTTAATTTATTGAAGCATTCATAAATCGTGGTATTCATCTCAATGGCAACTGGAAAATTCAAGCAAGGGACAGAACAGAATGGCGTAGAAAGCTTGAGAAGGTCGAGGCCCTCTAAGGGCTGTAGCACCAAGATGATGATGATGATTCATCTCAATATTCCTACGATATATATTTTATATATCACCAGTCTGTCTCCTCTCTGATTTCTCTCACCCAATCTGAACTTCCCAATGTACTTCTGATAACTTCCTTCGCTGATTTTGGCATTGAAGTCACCCATAATCACTGAGATTTCACCCTCTTTTCTTAATTTTGACACATCTTGTAGTTGTTCATAAAATGCTTTGATTTCTTCCTCTGGCTTGTCAGCGGCAGTGGTGTATACCTGTATTAAGTTAAGTTTGTTAATGGTTGACTGAAGATGAAGCATGATTATTCTGTCAGAGCAGGGTACAAAATTCAGTCAGTAAAGATTCGTTGGTTTGCCTGTTTCCTGTTTGAGATTTTCCCGAGTTTGGCCATTGGGTTTCTTTTAGTCCTAATACTTGGATATTTAGTTTATTCATCTCAGATACAACGTTGTTCAGTTTTCCTGATTGATACAGACTTCTAATGTTTCAAGTAGCTATTCGAATATCATCTGATGAATTTTGGGAAATTTTCCTTGCCTAGCTGACAGGGAGATTCTTCACACCAGTGCTTCTTTAAAGGGGTGACCCGGACAAAATGCCGTATGTTTAGGATTCTCAGCCATTTGATTTTCTTGGAAAAACAGATAGTGCGGTAGTTTTCTGTTGCTTTCCTCACCACAGTACCACAACCATTCAAACTGTCACAAACGTAGTCACACCTGTTGAATTCCAATAACAATCCAGTAGACCAAGCGCGAGTTAGTAAACAATAAGCCTTTTTTCGTCACAACTATATAGATGAGTTTGACAGATGAAATGTCTAGTATGAGATAGTACAAAAAGATTCGTATATTGGGATTCATCAATTTTTTAGTAAAACTATTTTTAAATAAACAATCAAAACGCCAAACTCATTATTTTTCTCATAACTTAAAAACTTGTCTATTTAGAGATTTGAACTTTTTCAGAAAGAAAAGATACACAAAATGAGATATGTTAAATTACAATCGGGTTAATAAACAAAAAAGTTGTTGCAAAATGAACAACAAAATCGTTCTTCTTGAATATTATTAATAACGTTTTTATTATGCATTAAAGTTTCTTTAAATATACCTGAATTTGAGGGTCATATCATGTTTGAATTGTGTGCAAAAGATGAGCCAGGTCAGATTAATAGTTTTTGCGAAATTCAATTTGTTTATAATTATTATTGTTTATAAATAACAATTTAATACTGTTTATATAATTATATTTAAAAAAATAAATAAATAAAACAATAAAAAGCGTCTTAAGTAAAGGTTTGTACATCCCATAGTTATCAGCTGCATTTGTTTTGGATAATTTTGCAATGAAAATATGATAAGTGAGTTGATTTTGAAACAAGTGAGTCAAATGCTTTCTATAAAAAAAGAAGTTAATTACATTAATATTATTAAATTTATAAATGATATCTCAAGAAAGGACAGGAATCAAATATATGGTGTTATAGTATGCTTTTAATATCACTTTAATTTTTTTATGTATCATTTTGACATAAATTTCCCTATTATAACTAAAAAGTCTAAACCAAATTTTAATAAATGGGTTAATAATGAGGTGAGACAATCAAGTTATGAACTGAAAAATTTGCATTCATTATCAAGAGCATTTCCTGAGTTGTGTGATTATTATAAGCATAAAAAAAGATCATCAACAGCTTTTAAATTCAACCAAAACATGCCACTACCAAGATATAATAAACACATTTGATAATCCTTCTACAAGTGCTTGGAAAGTTATATCTTGGATATAATACTGTTTTCAGTAAGAATACTGTTTTGGATGACCAACTTCTTCTTCATCCGTATTACATTAGAATCATTAAAATCCCACTACATTAGAATTAAACAAATTATTAAATCAAAAACTAAAAACAAAAAATCTTAAGGATTTGATGAAATCAATGGATTTTTACTAAAAAAGGTAGTTTCTTTTATAATATCTCCATTAACATATTTAGTTAATTTATCATTTTCAAATGGCAACTTTCCAGATTATATAAAAACTGGAAAGGTGCTACCAATTCATACAAAAGGTGATCCTAAACAAGTGAATAATAATTACCGTCCAATAACAATTTCTTTGGTTTTTTTCAAAAATCTTTGAATACAACTATTTACAAAGACTTAATTCATTTTTACAGATAAACAATGGTATTGTTAGTAACCAACATGGCTTCCAGTCTAAAAAATCTACCCATACAGCAATTCATTCATTTTATGATACTCTCACAAGTTTAATAGATGCAGGAGAAAGTTCTGTTGAGATATTTTGTGATTTTAGCAGGGCCTTCGACCATGTCAATCGCGAAATTTTAATTTATAAATTAAAAAATATGGGCATTTAAGGGTGTGCATTGAATTGGTTGAACTGCGGCAATACGTCAGCTTAAAAGAAAGGCATAAAATCAAATGCGAGCCATACATGTAACTATCTCGATATTAATATAGGTGTACCACAAGGCTCAATTTTAGGACCCATCCTATTTCTTATTTACGAAAACGATGTTGTCTCTGTTGACTCAGATGGATATTCTACAATATTTGCAGATGATATAAATGCCATAATTAACGGATCTGATACCTCTTTGTAGCACAACTTTTTGAAAACAAAGAGAGAACAGAAGCCCCAAAAGAATTTAAGGATGATACTTTGCCTGACATTATACGAGAAGAAATTGAATATGCAATGAAACAAGCTAAAGGTGGTAAATCTCCCGGGCCTGATGAAGTTCCTATCGAATTACTCAAAATTGTGAATACTGAATCTATTGATCTTCTTTTGGATCTATTCAATACCCTATATAGAACAAGTATAATACCTAAAGAATGGCTCCAATCAACATTGATACTGCTTCCCAAAAAAGCCAATGCAAAGGAGTGCAATGAACATCGCACCATAGCCTTAATGAGTCATGTTTTGAAATTGTTTTTAAAAGTAATTCACAATAGAATACATAAGAAATTAGATGAAGGCATAAGTAATACACAAATGGGATTTACAAAAGAACTGGGAACCCGAGATGCACTGTTTGTAGTAAGTGTTCTTTCGCAGAGATGCTTAGATATAAATCAGGAAGTATATGCCTGTTTCATTGATTTTGAGAAGGCATTTGACAGAGTGCAGCATAATCAGCTTAAAGAAATTTTATTAAATAAAAACATAGACAGTAGAGACATTAGAATCATATGTAACCTCTATTGGAACCAAAGAGCAAAATTGAAAGTTGAAAATGAACTGACCGAGGATATCTAGATTCGCCGTGAGGTCCGCCAAGGTTGTATTTTATCACCCTTGTTATTCAATTTATACAGTGAAGCCATCTCAGAATTAGCGCTTGCCGAGGTTAGTGAGGGTCTTATAATAAACGGTGAGCCACTTAATAACATAAGATATGCTGACGACACCTTCCTTCTGGCAGGAACACTAGAAGAACTACAACACCTTGCTGAACAGCTAAATATATATTAGAACGATTATGGACTAAAAATAAATTTGAAGAAAACCAAGTTCATGGTATTTACAAAAGCACAAAATATCAAAGTTAAGCTAGTACTAGATAATACAGAAATTGAACAAATATCTTCGTACAAATACCTTGGAGCATGGATCACAGAAGATACTGATCAGACAAGAGAAATAAGATGCCGCATTGAAATTGCACAGTAAACTTTTAATAGAATGAGAAAACTTTTTTGTAATCGCGATATCAATATATCGCTCCGGATAAGAATGCTTCGATGTTATATTTTCTCTACCCTTTTGTATGGGATTGAAGCTTGGACACTTATAAAATCCAACATTAAAAT